CCGATCTCCCCAAAACCCCAAAACCCCGCATTTAAATGGTTAAATATTAATAGTATTTATAAAATCAATATTAATTCGGAAATTTATATTTTTCCATGTAATATTTCAATAATTCACTTATATACTCTCCCAAGAGACTTCCCAAAACTTTGAATTGACTAATTGGTAAAAGTTGTAATTGCCTCTTAAGAAAGTGTGGGTATCGCTGACTTTTACTTCATGCAGAAATCGTAGACTTCTAAGGTAAACCTTTTCTAATCTAAATTTTATGGAGTGCTAGAAATGGTAGCAAGTCTCTTTTGAAATTCAAAGTGCAGGTATTTTTCATCAGGCTTATCAAGCATATTTCTTAGCATATGTCTGTTCTTGAAATAGCTAGTTTGAGCCTGTTTAAATTTAGAGGCTGTTTATTACCTCTATACAGATGATTACTCACTCTCATTATTGCAATGTCTAACCAATCTTTTATTGTAGCCTAGGCCAATAATCATTTTACGATTGTCTCTGCTATGAATAGGTCTATAATTCTTGATTAGTTAATCGATACTCTCATCATCTGCATCATCTTATTCATCCTCCTTACTGATGGTCTCATCTAAGCTTTCGCCAAGAGATTTAATTTCATTTAGTCTTAATTAGTCTGTGTCTGTATGTCTATCTATTTTTGTTAGTATTTAAACAATAGGGCTATCTGCATTCATGATTGAAGAAGTTGGAGTAGCATGATTATCTGTGGCAGCTGATTCAAGCATCAATCTTTCTAGGTTGTTAACTTCTGTGGCAATAAATGTTGAAGCTTATCTACCCATTACATTTTTGGGAATATAGCTTGAAGTCTAAGGAATCGATGCTTGAGAATTTAAATACTTGCAGCTGCTTTGATCCACCAAATAGCCAGATTTAAAGTTCTGAATTGAGATAGAGCCTGATGTATGGTCAGTAGCGCTGAGTAGATTTTTAATAGATTTTTAAGCTTTGACTGCATCAGCTAAAGTTGATTGACTCTTCATTCCTATATAAAATATTAGCTAATAGCAATTTTATTACTTTGATTAAAGTATGCAGTCATCATTATTTTTTGTGAGTGCTGAGGCTTATAATGAAATAGTGTTTTTGAATCGATAAGTTCTTAGTTACTCTTAGACTATTAAAAATTGTTAGCATTTGTTTATATTGGCTTCTTAATTATCTAAAATGGATTTAAGTTTTTATCAGCAATGATTTATTCAACTTGCTATTTTACTTATAGTTAATTTATACTTATACTTGGTCTTTTAGATTCTTAAGATATTTGATAGTTCGTAAAAGTTGATTTCGGAGATTTTATCAAGAAATTCGTCAGATTATCACTGTACCTTTACTTTATGGGTGAATCCCTAGTCAAAGTTGTTTGATGAACGGTTTCTTCTTACTGTAGATGATTGTCTTTATTAGAACTCTCTGAATAGGGAGAATTATTATCGTTGTCAAAACTTTTCTCTTATTTAAGTTTCATCTCGCTAACAAGTCTATAACAAGAGTCCCCACTACTTTTCTTCCGAAGAATATGGTTTTTACTTGGACTAAAGCTAATTTGATTATTGCTATTCTTATTCTTAGTAGTTTTTGGCTTGTATGGATCTTACTAGCTAACCTTTGTAAATATGGTGTGCCTATTTTTAGCCTATTAAAGCTTCTTTAAATTCAACATATTTGCATTTCAATCTTTATTGCTTTCAATAAATGTATTGAGGTTGCTATACTTATCTCCGATAGTTGAAGTTCGTTACTTAATAATTTGTTAAGTTTTAAAATCAGTTTCGGTCGAGGAGAATAAATTGAGATTCGATTCTCTTTGTCGCATTTCTTTCTTAACTGTAGAAAGATATTCGTTTATTTGATACTCCTCATCATCTCTAATAGACTGCAATGAGTTCAGCAGATCTTCATCGTTACTCTTGTTTGAGCCATTTTTAGATTTTATGCTATTAGTATTTCTATACTTTACATTAAAACTTTCAGGTGTCTTAAATTGCTCCTTTCTATTCGGGGAATCCTTGCCTGATGGAATTCGAATAGTCCTTCTATTTTCCCTTGATCCTGTCATTCCGAACTATGAAGCTGACTTGCTAGATGGGAGTGTGTTTTATGTCAACTACTATGCAATTGGAATTTAATTTACTTCTAATCTGTTGACATTTCTCTCACCTTACAATGGTTCATAAACCTTAAGTAAATCTCTAAGTCTGTATGAAATCTTCATGTTCCCATTCCATCCATTAGATCTATGCTGGTCTTATAACTTTTGTACAATCATAGCTGAAGTGGAGGTAAGATTTCTATGTAGTATGCGTTGACTCAATAAATTTATTCCATTTTTAGATATTTATTGGTTCTATGCTGATTGCTAATGTTCAGTCGCAATTTAAGAAATTGGACTCTTAACTGGAGTACCAATATCGCTTTACTATTAGGATTTTATTATCAATCTTCAGACTTATCAATTTTAAGAGCTTGAATTCTTCCTTTAAAAAGTAGTTAATGCTTTTTGCGAAAATTGTATTGCTTTAGGATCTTAATTATGAAGGAGGTTATTGTATGAATTTAAGTTGAAATGCGATGATTATGCTCTCATTTTAATTTAATTAATTGAGTAAATAATATGCTTGATCTTTAATAAATATTGGATTCTAAACACTTCCTCGGGGTTTTGGGGTTTTGGGGTTTTGGGG